AAAAAAAAAAAAAAAAGAACCAATACGGTCTTACCTCCGAGCTTTGCGAGAAAAGCCGCCCCGACCAGAGCCAACGCGAGCGACCCACGCCCCTTCCACTTGCAGGCGCCGCACTCCACCGAGCCCCAACACCTCAGAACGCCGGCCATCGCACCGAAAGAAGAACCGCCAGAACCCTAGCCCGCCTCTAATGGCGTGAGACAACAAGAGAGAGTACCACAACCCGAACCATGGAGGAGGAGCGGTGGGCCGTCCACCGACGAGTCCGGCTGACAACTGAAGGAGGCTCAATTCGGCGGAGATCGACGAGAGACGGAAGCAATATTTGGGCGATTTGGGCGACTTTTTTTTCGGCAGATGTTGAGAAGTCTAAATTAAATACACCCAATTTTCTGAAGCTCTTATGGATTGAAGATTGCAAGTGAAACTTACCATGTGCATGAAGAATTTTTGCTTTTTGTTGTACACCAGTGTAGTGTACGGATATTGTATGAGTATGCTTTAAATAACAACTTACTCTAGCTTTTTGATTTTGGTTTGAGATTGTATATTAACAAATTTAATAATAATAATAATAATAATAATAATAATTATTATATTATTATTACCCTATATTGTAACATTTAAAAAAATGGTTTGAGATTGTATATTTAATAATAGTAATTACCCTATATTGTAACATTTAAAAAAATGGGTTGAGATTGTATATTTAATAATAAAAATAATAATAATAATAATAATAATAATAATTTACCAATTAATTAAATGGTTAGTCACTCAAATTTGTAAAAGTTAATCAATATAGTTATCATTCATTTTTACTACTAGTAGAATTTTTATATGGGTGGGTTATTTTTTTAAAATAAACAAAAAATCTGTGGCAAAAAATAAAAAAAAAATAATAATTGTGGAAAAAAATCAAACGGACGGATTCTGAAAATCCGTGTTTCTAATTAAAATTTTTAACCGAAACACGGATTCTCAGAATCCGTTTTTGTTT